AAACTCAAAGAAAAGCAAAAACTAAACCATCCTGCCATGATGATCCTATTCCTTAGAGGTAACTTACACAAGCTGGGCATGGTTGTATATGCCTATAGTTAAAGTACTCAGGAGACTGAGTCAACATGATCGCCCGAGTTGAATGCCACCTGCACCTACATTATAGAAACCCTCTCAAAAACAAAATAAACCTAGAAGTATTCTTTAAACTTTGGGGTATACTATTCCACACTAAAAATTACTATATAGTTAAGATCTGTAACTATCACTATATATAAACTATACCTCATTTTAAAAGTAAAAATAACCTGGAGAAAAACATATGTATTAAAAGCAAATACTCCTTTAAAACCAAGGAATAATATGTATTCTACAGTTGCTTTTCATAAATAGAAATTTCTTCAAGTAATCAAATCTAAGTAGATTCTTTTTAATGGCTGTAAATAATCTCACATAATACTAGTAAGTCACAATTCACTTAACTGATTCCTTAGTAATAGGCATTTAGGCGTTAACAACACTTGGTAGGAGAACTGCTAAACAATGCTGACATGAACACTGGATTCCTTTGAAGTGAGAAGTTTCTAAGTCTTCCAGATATATGAGCCAGTTGCAGTTTGCACAATACTAGATTTATATCTTACTTCAAGATGTTCCATAACAGAGCACACAATCTGTTTTAGGTTCTTTGTAATTAAAACCCCCGCCAGCAACCGACCCTTGACAGAAAGTCTTGATTCTCTGGCCTCTAACACTTAAAAGCTACATGCTTTCTCTCTTGAAGGGCTGTTTTCTCTTTATAAAAGGATGAGATCTTTAGCAACCTACCTTACTGGGTTGAAATGTGGGTTATATGAACTAATTTGTGAAAGGGAGACATAGGCTCTGACCCTCAGTTCTTAAAAATGAAACATGTATCACTATTTGCCCTTAAGTAATAACAAATAACTTTCAAAATAAGCAAAAAACTAGTTCAGGTCTGTGCAAGAGAAGAAAAGGGTCTGCTTTCCCGTCAACTTAGGTCTCAGGGTAATACTGAAATGTCTACCTTTTACCAAGGGGCAGATTCCATATAGTATTACAGAATGGTGAAAAGATGAACAAATGTTTTCTATAACCAGCTTTAAAGATCTTAGATTAGAGGAGATCAGCACGGTGTAGGAAGAAGGCAGATCCTCTGCCATTGTTAGATAGATAAATAGCGAAAGGCACTTGATATTCTGATGGTCCTCAAGCTGTAGCTTTTGACAAATAAGACCCAACAAAAGGTACTTAAAATGGATTGATAAATGAAGGTACCTGTAGGACCTATGTGTTTCCTTAAAAGTTCATCTAAAGTATTCTATATTAAAAGCCCAAATAAATCAGCATAAATTGTAAGAACCTAAAAGAATAAACAAAGTCTAGAAGTAAAGCCATGGTGTTATGTTGAGCTGTAGGGGACTCAGGTCAACAATTTCTGACACTGCCAGTCAAGTGGAAGACCCAATATTATTATGGACTACTGGATTCTTTTAGAATATTTTGCGGAGTTCACACACCTATAATATTCAAATGACAGAACTAAACAAAAAAGGGGATACAGATGAATGTCCATTTTGTATCTGTGTATTCAAAATGGTTAGGATAGATATATAGTTACATTCTCTTAATGAATAGAAGGATTTGTTCTAATAGTGTTTGTAAATAGGATATCATGTCTGCATCTTGTACAGCAAATAACCACTAGGAAGAGAGTATGCAATGTGTTAATTATTGAAACTGTCCTACCAATTTGATTTGAAACTGTCTCATTGCTATTTGTTTCTCAATAAAATTATGGAACAAAAAAGAATAAACAAAATCTGAAAGGTATAATAGATACAGTAAAACAGAAAGAAACTGAACATAAAGAATAAATAAAGCAAATGAGGGAAAAGAGAAAAGATGGGGAAAAGGGAGGAGGATAACCCCCATACGTGCAAGTATACATACAGGAGGGCTGAGATGACTCACTGCTAATTCCACCAGTTGTTTTCTTTTTTTTTTTGGTGGAATCAGGGATTGAACTCAGGCCCTTGCACTTGCCAGGGAAGCACTTATTCTACTGAGCCATCTCCCCGGCCCCTTCAGTTCTTGAAAATGGCAGTTAATGTTCAAAATTTTCACTTTAACTAACTCTGTCTGATAATATCTGTAATCTGAACAACTACATGGAAGATAGCAATGTGCAATACAAACACCATTGTTGAATACATCTCATCTTGTTTTTCTAAATGTGTACCATTTCTAATATCTTATCAATTATGATTATACTCTTTAAAATAAATTTAAAAGTAAAGTAAAAAGGACAAGAAAAACATTAAGGTTTATTGAAAGCAAACATTGATGTTAAATTATTTGTCTAATCTCGCATACCTATATCTGGTAATCTGAGCAATAGATTTGATCATAAAAATACATAATATAAAAACCTTTGTTAATTTGCTATTCTTGTTTCAAAAATCTGCATCATGTGCATTGTTGTATGTTACTGTTTCTGTCTGTTATTGCTTTTTTTCTTAACTCTCTTTTTTTTAAGAGTAGGAAAATTTATTGGAGACAAGGCATGGGTGATGGGGAATAGGAGTAGCTTCTGAGAGACACAAGAGGTCCCAGTAGGTTGTCTTTACTTTTTTTTTTTTTTTAATTTTATTTATTTATTTGTGTGTGTGTGTGTGCACGGCCAGCTCAGCCCACCAGGGGGCGGGGCTGGCTGGCATGTGGTGCTGAGGGATTGAACCACGGTCCCTGTGCTTTGCTAAGCTTGTTCTAAGTAGGTGCTTTAGACCACTGAGCCATCTCACCAGCCCCTGTCTTTACTTTTTAAAATAAAATAAAACAGAAAATTCCAGGCAGCTAGAGGGGTAAGAAGGGCTCGGGGTCCTGGGAAGGAAAGAAAAGGAGTGGGCCTCGGTGAGTAGGAAGCGGAGGACCGTGGCCAACAGCGAGCAGACTTTCATTACCATCAAGCCCAATGGCGTGCAACAGGGCCTCACAGGAGATTTCGTCAAGCACTTTGAGCAGAAGGGGTTCCACCCTGTTGCTTTGAAACTTATGCAGGCCTCGGAGAACCTGCTCAAGGAGCACTATAGCGACCTGAAGGTGCGGCCCTTCTTTCCCAGCCTGGTGTAGTACATGCACTCAGGGTCCACGGTTGCCACGGTCTGGGAAGGGCTGAAC